AGTATAATTTCATGATTGTTGCAATAACTAATGTTCTGTGTGTATTCCTAATGTGTCATGTGTGTTTGAGTCTTACAGGTGTCAGACTGTGTTGAAGGTGTTCAAAGGTAAGAATCACACTCTCACACATTGATTGTTCTTCTGTATTATTATGTTGTTTTTAGAATAAACCATTATTTGGTGTATTCTCTTTGAAAACATCTATCTTTTTCTCAGATTGTTCAGCAACTCACTCAAGATGAGGGAAAAGGGCAACAAGGGGAAAATGCCCCCTCGGAAATGCAACATGTGTAGAGTAATACAGGGTAAGTAGCTTTCAGGGCTCATTTGTCCATGTGCAAAACAAATGCACATTTGCAATTGTTTTTTACATGGAATTACTCCAATGACCAAAGCCTTATCCCAAGTTTCTCAGACGGAGTGTCTTCCAGTGTCTCGAGCTAGTGCAGTGCCAAGGTTTGTATCACATGGTGATGGATCGAGTGGTTTGAGGCATTAATAGAAAGTTATGTGTTGTTATATCACTTTGCCACATTATGTTGAAACTAAACATGTTCCACATTTTCAGGTGCTGTGCTTCGACCTTATAATGAGACTGAAGACCAAGAGAGGACACATGTTGGAACCTCAACATTCAATAAATGCATTATTCTGCCTTTCAGATTGTGTTTTTACATCTGGGGAACCTAGAGTGTAGCTTGTGCCTGTTTTAATACTGATCCAAACATAGGCGCTACAATCATGTTTTTTTACTTTGGCATGAACTGTTCAGTACAGTAGTGTTCATAACACTGTGCCCTGTGTGCTTTAACTTGTACTTTGATGTAGAGAAACATGATTTTTAATGCAGCTCCATTTGCAATAATGACTGATATCCTTCTACTACAGTTGTTCTAATGATTTTTGAATGCTGTGTTTATCGTTTATTGCCCAGAGTCAGAACTAAACATGATAAAGCTGCATTTCAGATTCACAAGGCTAAAATCTGGAACGGTCTTCCTGGAAATGTGAGACAGGCTTCTTCTTTGACAATGTTAAAATCCAGGTTTAAAACACTTCTGTTTCTGCTTCAACTGAGAGATTTTATTTGTTTCTTTTTAATTTACAGTCAATATTTATAATTGTAATGCCTTGTTTGATTGTTTCTATCTTTTGTTCAGTGCTTTGAGTTTCCTTTTGTTTTGACTGTGCTATACAAATAAACTTGCCTTGCCTATTGCAAAAAGTATGTCTCGACCAGTGAGTGATTCTGCAGAGGTTAAGTATGTCAATAGGACTGTAAATGGACGTCATATAAACGTCAATATTTTGGTCATATAAGACGTCGAGAGGACGTCGGACCCGACCGGTTCTGTACCACATTGCAACCTTGAATGAAGTGGCCGCGACGTCATTTGAACGTCCAGATAACGTACAGATGACGTTGAAATGACATAGTTTTGACATCTGCTTGCTTAGTGGGAACAACGGAAAACGAACGTCATATGAAGGCAATATTTTGGTCATATAAGACGTTGATAGGACGTCGGACCCGACCGGTTCTGTACCACATTGCAACCTTGAATGAACGTCCAGATGACGTTGAAATGACATAGTTTTGACATCTGCTTGCTTAGTGGGAACGACTGAAAACGAACGTCATATAAACGTCAATATTTTGGTCATATAAGACGTTGATAGGACGTCAGACCCGACCGGTTCCGTACCACATTCAAACCTTGAATTGACGTGCCATCAACGTAACATTTGGAGGTTGAGGTGACGTCGGGAAACGACGTCGAGAAAACTTTCATTCTGCACCCACCAGTGACCTATATTCTACGTCGGACAACGACGTTCAAATTACGTTGATTCAACGTCGGCTTGCTTAGTGGGTATGTGCAGCACTTTGGAAACGTCTTGTTGATTAAATGTGCTGTATAAATGAAGTGGATTGGATCGGACGGCGTATATTGTATGTCTATAAAAACTGCCAAACACGTAAACTGGGCTTGTTCAATGTGTTTTTTTGCCAAGACTTTTACAATATTTATGAACATTAAATTCACTTCTTTGGTAATACTGTATATGCATGATTTTTTTAACTGTAAACAACGGGGAAACATCCTTTTATATGCCGTACATCTGAGTAATCCCTATAGATAGATAGACTGCAGTCCCATGTGAGGCGGCAACGGATAAAGCGGAAGAAAATGAATGCATGGATTTGTTGTTCAGAACGCAAAGAAGTTATTTTATCTCAGTTTGACCCAGATAAAGCTGACTTGGCCACCAGGATATTTTAATAGACTTTTTTTTTTTTCACCACACTATTTTTTCATGCAAATACATCTCTGTGTATGCGTTTAAACAACACCTGTCACATATAAATATTTTGAACCATGTATAAACAGCAGTTATGGATCAATCGGTCGTTCTTGCTCCAATGGCACATGATATTTTTGAGTTATAAAATACAAAAATAAATCTTAATACTGCTTTTAAAACTTTAATCCTTAAATTACATTCATCTGGAATTGTAAATCTCAATAAATGAACAGCTGCGTGGTTATGTGGACACGAGAAAACAGCTTGTATCAAAAGCACCCATAGCTAAAAAAATAAAAAAATGTTTGATGATAGATGCAGATTTGAAGAGATTCTGATCTGCTTGTGACGATGCAAATGGTCTGACTATTGTTTTTGTTTTTAATATACTAATAATATTTATATAATTTATGTACTGGTTTTACAAGGAAGAATTGCAACATGAGCCTCACTTTCTATACAGCGACACTTTCCCTGTTTTTCTGACGCTTTTCTATTCTTTTTAAATCTCTTATGAAGTTTCAGTTCTCCAACTTCTGCCTGTATCACATACTGTAACATTTATGGATAACAATTGTACTAGGGACTGGCCTCCTGCAGGTGCCCAGAGTCAGGACGAAACATAGGGAGGCAGCATTTCATATTTACGCAGCTAATATCCGGAACAGTCATCCTGAAAAATGTGAGACAGGCTTATAACAGTGATTTGAATGTTTATTTTATTGTTTTGTTAAGCGCTTGTTTATGAACTGTGATATTCAAATACTCCTTGCCTATCTATGTCTGTTTATCAGATTTGGTCATATTAATCGATGCCACACCTCTTTGCACTTGATATTCATATAATGGAATGGAGAGACTTGGCCGGAAAACCTGCTCTTCTTACAGGTTTTCCATATCAGCGAGCCCAGACGCGAATCCAAAATAGAAAGCTCTATAACGAGGACAAAACACAGTGGCTTACATCGGAGTCATATGTTTACCTACCCGCGGTGATGCTCCCCCCACTCCCCTTTCCACATGGTCGCCGTGGCAACAGAGGCGGGCTGTATTGCCAGCGTGTGACAGGGGATGTAATTCTGCCTGTCACCAGCGGAGCCTCGCCAGCCTTCCCCTGATGCGGGTTGCTATAGGAGACCAGACACAGACACATCTTCCTTCCTCCACTTCAATGACAAATCCCCTTTTCTTTCCCTTTTAGACAAATTCTAACGTGAAGGGGAGGGTTTTAATGTGGAGAAATGTGCGCTGAGGACACGGCACTGTCCAAAGATAGGAAGCAGTATTAAAGCTGGTGTACCTAACTTTGAAACCACATAAAGATGAAAATCTATGTAACAAGTACCTAGTGCTTGTATGTATGTATCTTTGGCCTCTCTCTTTCTCAGCTTTTTAGACAAGGCAAGGCAAGTTTATTTGTATAGCACAATTCAAACACAAGACAACTCAAAGTGCTGAACAAAACAAGACCGTCACACAAGACAAGACCATCATAGATAATTACAGCACATTAAAAAGAGCAAACCTAAAATCCCTCAGTTGCGAAAAAGATAGACCCACCCTTGCTTTTTGGCCCTGAACCCTCTAAGCTCCAAAGCAGTGGAGTTGCTCTTTAATACAGGACACTTTCTATACAGCTACTTGGCTTTCCACAAATGTGTCCCAAAATGTTTCTTACATAATTATCTCCCATGTATTTCTTTTATTGATTAAGGTAATCCACTATCTCTACCTATATTTCAATGCATTTGTTTCTTTTGTATTGTCTATTGCACAAGACATTTCTCAAAAAAAAACACTGACGCCTAAAGGGTCAAGACTAAACCACTCCCTCCCAAAATCCATGGAAAGCCTTTCAACAGCAATCAAAAAAAATAAAATAAACCTAGATCTATATCTTGTCCATATGTAATCTTTAAGTAATCTTTATTTATATACCGCCTTTTCACTGCAGATCTGAGTCTCAAAGCGGTTTACAATTGTTAATTATGGGCATTTGTCCTCTCACTCCACACAGAGATGGGAGCGGGGTCGCCAGTACAGGAGGCGCATGCCAGAACTATTGGACATATTTTTAGTGGTAGGGGAAACCGGAGCACCCGGAGGAAACCTACGCAGACACGGGGAGAACATGCAAACTCCACTCAGAAAGGCCCCGGTCCGACCGGGATTCGAACCCAGGACCTTCTTGCTGAGAGGCGAGAGTGCTATCCACTCAGCCACCGTGCCGCCCATGTGTGTGGGAGCAGATCCTCTCTCAATATGGGTCTTCTCAAGGTTTCTTACTTTTTTCCTACTGAGTTTTGGAGTTGTTCCTTGCTGGTGCAGCAGGGTGTAAGGACAGTGATAATCAGGGACATTTACAGACAGTTATCAACAATTTTGGACATCACGCGCCCCCTGTATGGACCAATGTGTTTGTTGAGTTGAGTGTTTATTTATTTTGAGTTCAATGACAATCAATGACATTATTACATGAATTCTCAAATGTCATTACATAGAACGTTCTAGCAAATCATGTATTTACATATTACAATATTGTACATTATTCGATATTCATTATTATTTTTGGTGTGGAATCATTGCATTTCCTGCGTTCGAACTGTAAAGTCCGAGACGACTGCTGTTGCGATTTTTCTCTATACAAAAATAAATAATGAAGTCTGCTGTATTTCTGCCACAGGTGGGTGGAGATGACTGAAGTGGAGCCCGTTTTGGACTTCGCCACGTCGGGCCGCTCGGGGAGGAGGAACGCCCTGCCAGACATCCTGGGCTCCCCCGCCGGAGTCAACCCGGGCGACCTGCCACTCAAGCTGGGCGAGATGTCCCTCCAAGGTACTGGGGCAGAGCACGCCTTTGGGGAGCTTTGAACTATCCAAATGTCAGTGCGTGAAAGTTGCACTTCTGATGCAACAGCAGTAATTGTGTGTTCCAGCTCCCTGTTGTAAGCAATATCTGTTTCTGTTTTGCAAAAGTAGCTCTCTGATTGAAAAAGGTTGGAAACCCCCTAAACTATACAAAGTGGGTGAAGTCTCTTGCCTAAGGGAAATTTTCCCCCGAGGCCTCCCAGCACAGTGCCAACCAGGCCCTGCCCTGCTTAGCTTCAGAGATCTGCCAAAACAGTGTTTGAAGATTCTTATTATTGTGGCAGAAGTAGTTGTCATTTCAAAAGTACCAAATATTAGGATAATGATATATTAGTGCAACAGAACAACCCAGAATTCACGTCAACTCAATTATGTTTATTTTTGCATAGCCCTAACTCAAAACAGAAGTCGGACTTTACAAAGTTGTCGATAACTAAACAACACATCTGAGAATCAAACGCATTATTAACAAACACATAGGAGCCATTTGTCTAGAGGGAGCGAGATGACCATAAATGTTAATTAGATCAAATTAGATACACTTTACAATGGAGAAATTTACATGTCACATTTGGCATAGATAGAATCACTCAAAAGACAGAAGTGTGCAAACATTACTGTTAGAAATACAGTCTGTGCAGGATAAATTATGAACAATAAACATTCTTGCATAAATGTCCATGTGTGTAAATGTCCCGGATTATCACTGGCCTTAGATCCTCCTGCATCAATCAATGAACAAAATTGAGTGTGAAAAAGTAAGAATCTGTGGAAAATTAACCACACAGAGACGGGATCAAGGCGCACCAGAGCTCCTGGAAGTTTATTCAGTTTCCTTCAAGTTTCAGTTGTTTCAGATTTTTCAAACAGAACTAAGTCAGGACATGGTTTATATAGTCATTCATTACATCAGATACGTGTCGCATCCAGAACATATTCAGTCATAACATGGATACACAATGGGACCTTGTGACTGTGAGGGCCAGATATTTTGTCTTGCGTTTGTCCACCTGCGTAGGCCATAGTTATCTATCCACCATAAAACCTCAGGGATACCCATAGTGAGAGAGGGATCTGCTCCCACAGACGGACAGGCTTTAGATCCAGGACTCAAGTGAATGTATGTTAGTGCTTCTTTTTATCTTTTTATGGCCTTTTTGATATTATAACAACTTTAAAACTTTCACTCATCGTTAGCAGTTGTGTGAATCCATACATTGTCAAATAAACATGTTTTCTATTTCCAAATGATAATGCCAACAGAAACTCTCCTGACCCTGATCAGAAGTCTCCATCCCCAGTTCCCAAAAGCCTGTGTTTCCCTTTTAACATCTACGAAGCTTGAAGTCTTTTGTGGTTCTTCATCCTCTCTCATGGCGAAGCTGCCCATTGTTCTGGGCAAAAAGCTGGTTGCTGGGAATTCCTGGGCTGCCTTGAATGAACATTTCAGATCTCCCCTGATTAGCTCAAGGATGTTATAATTTGAAAATAGTTTTATTAGTTGATATCTAGCTTTACGATATAGGGTTATATTCGATGAGTGAGAATTTTTTTATTTGTTTTTACAAGCACAAACAAAAGGCCAAAAGAATGTACATTTTAACAGCTTTTATGTAATGTAATCTTTATTTATATACCGCCTTTTCACTGCACATCAGAGTCACAAAGCGGTTTACAATTGTTACTTTTGGGCATTTGTCCACTCACTCCACATAGAGATGGGAGCGGGGTTGCATGCCAGAACTATTGGATATGTTTTTAGTGGTAGGGGAAACCGGAGTACCCGGAGGAAACCTAAGCAGACATGGGGAGAACATGCAAACTCCACTCAGAAAGGCCCTGGTCCGACTGGGATTTGATACCAGAACCTTCTTGCTGAGAGGCGAGAGTGCTATCCACTCAGCCACCGTGCCGAGTGGATAGCACTTGCAATAAAAACACATGTGGTTGAATCAATGTGTGTAATTCAATTGGTTCGGCTCAAATTCTGAAAAGACATTAGACAACCCTTTGATTTTCCATTTTTTATCACGTAATTCAATAGAAAAGGTTTTCCCAGTAATCAGTTTCATCACAGACACAAATGAGCTTAGTCATGGATGTGCTTCTGGACAGTGACGGGGCCTTTCCATCAGACCGGACACCCACGGTCGACACAGCACCGCACAATCTGAGTATATCCAGTATATCTACACTGGCCCCTTAATATGTCTTTATATGTATTCCTATTTCTTATATATGGACCGATTTAATTTGAGTCTGAAAAAAAGATAAATGATAATATAATAATTCAGTACACGGTTCAGGACCTCGATGTTTTGCAGATTTTTGTGTGTGTATTTGTGGGTGGTTATTTTACAGCGTGCTTCTTATGCACCAACAACATCGTATACAACATCATATAACTGCTAGTATAACATGACAGTTCAGAAGTGTGTTTTTTTTTCGTGAAACTTTTTTCTTTGTTTTTTCAAGACAATGTACAAAGATTACATACCAAACAAAGTACAAAACTATATATATTCTTTGATGTAATAATAAAAAAAACAAAAAACGATGAACGAAGATCAAGTAAAACACAAAAAAATCTGTTGATATTAGAGAAGAAAAATTTAAAGATTAAAGATTAACTAAGTTAATTGAACAGAAAGAGGGACCTCCGGGAAAGTAAAATAATAATAATATACATTTTAAAAACCTTTTGCAAAGAATTCAAGGAATTAAACTGGGACTGAAGGGAACTCCAAGTGTATGCATGGCTTTTGAAGGGAACTCCAAGTGTATGCATGGCTTTTGACAGCTGCAGCAGCGCTCAGGCCAATAACAAACAGGTCTCCAATTCCACCAAATATTAACCTCATGTAAGCAAATGTATATGATGTACGGTAAACTGAATTTAATTGTAATTTTCTCCCAAGAATAAAACAAGAAAGTTCTTTAATAATCACTAAAGCCTCTTCTACTTTTCAAAACTATCATTTACATTTAGAACAAGGAGATCTTACAAAATATGGTACTTAAAAACAAAAACCCCCTCATAAACTTTTTTTTGGCTTTTCCCACTTAACCCCCTTTTCTATTCTGCTGCAGACGGACCGGGAGGAGCCCAATCCCCCGCGTCGGAGGAGGGGGCCGTCCCAGCGGAGAGCTCCCAGACTAAGGATGGGTCGTAGGGCCAGTCCCTCCCTCCAGGACGCCCCCTTTTCCTCGGGTACCTCACCTGAGCGACCGCAACTCCAACGTGTGAGACGTTTCTACCACGCACTCCCTTAGCCCCGGACGCTGGAGAGATACGGACACTGCACACTATGAGCCGGCAAGACCCAAAATGGCCGCTTGTCTTTGCCTTGGACTCAATGCAACAGATTGTACAATGAACTATTTTTCTATTGTTTTAAGCTGCGACTACGTGTTGTTCCACTTAATGTCCTCAGATGACGTTTTGCCACGGGAAAAAATATACGTAATGAGAATTTATGTCACTGCCACAAGTACAATATTGCCAAACTAAAGATATTTTTAAAGAGGACATAAGATGCTCAATCAACTTCTCACAACAGGTTATAGTTGTTTTTTGTTTTCGTTTGCACACTCGAAGGTATTATTAGAGCAATTTATACATATTGAGTACTTTCTCCGAAGCAACATACAAATAATACACCTTCACTCCTCTACCGTCGCCGTTTTGTTTTGTTAAATGATTTTCTTTACTCTGAGGAAGGAGGAGGATTTTGGAGATATTTTGGTGATTCACGTTAAGGGGCAGAGCTCGAACCGGTACGGCAGGATTTAATACGAAAGTGTGCAGACTGGCTTCTTCTATTACAGAGCTTAGAGACAATACACATTTTTAGAGTAGTAAATATAAAAACGCGATGTCCTAACGTGGAAATAGAGTACAACAGCAGGTCTTTAAAAGGCATTCCAAGTTGTTTGCAATGGAGGGAAATTTCTGTCCAATCACAGCGATGAGGAGGCGGGCTCATATTCTTACGTTCTCTGATGTGATGTGCAACTTTATGGCGGCTTACTGTGGGTCACAAGCAGACTAAAAAAATTGGCTGAACACTTGGCTTTTTTTTTACCAAGCCCTTTTAGCCACTGCAGAATTTTAAACTTTTTGCATATCATCGCCATTATGGTCACATGAGACTATTACTCCGTGGTGGTAGACTACTAATTTGAATGGGAAAAATAGGCCACACTCAGTCCATATTCTTACTGTATATGCATGGGACCGAATAGAAAAGTGAGCAGATTTATTGAGTATAATTAATACATAATAATCTGGCGTCATCAATTATCACTACAGTAAATCGCAGGTAGGCAGAAGCATGTTATGTCTTCTTTAAACGGCATTAGGTGAAACCAAGCTACAGTGGCCATAAAAGTGACTTTAAATCATTCCTCAACAGCAAAAATGGTATCGTGTTAAATATTAAATGGCAAAAAATGCAAATATAATGTACAGATGATAAACACAGATCCCAAATCTTAAGTACTGTTCTTAAGTACAACAAGGATATAGTCATAATTTCTGCTCCACTTTGTGACGTGGCATCTGCTTTCACTGGAGAGCGGCTTTTTCAACCAGCTCTCACTGAACTACACACTACAGTATGTTGGAAGTCGATGTGTATTATTGTTGCTCCTATTTTGTACTACCTGACTGTTGCCATTTTAAAAACCAGGGATTTTACGATCTTAGTAACGGCTGTCGAGATGGACGCTAACCTAGAGACATTCCTTCTGTTGAGTATTCCACTGCCAGTTGCTTGAAAAGATACGACAAAAAGCAGATTTAAAGGTCCTATAATATGTAATTTTTTTTGTCTTTTTCTATACAATGTTTGAGCTATGTTGTGAGGTTGTAACATTTTGTTTCATCTATACCTTGCATTTTTTGTCTTTTTTCCCAATTTTCATGTCTTAAAGGTGGGTAGGTGATGGTGATGTCATCGGATGGTCTCACAGAAAGTGCTGGTCTATAATTCAAATAGTGTTTGATTTTCTTGGCATATTTATAAGCTACGGACTGACTCAATACACAGTACCTGAGTAATATTTGATGCTAGCTGCTATTGTTTGTATTATTTAATCCATAAATCCACAGCGCTCCAGAGGGGAGTCGTTGCGCCCTCTGCTGGCCGCTTGTTTTTTGCATGTACAATACATGTCAAAAAATGTGGATAAATTGGTTAAAAACATGATAATAATAATAATTGTTTTGAAATCATAATATAGGACCTTTTTGAAACCAAATTTGAGGAGAAAAAAATATGTGCCTAGTTTACAATCGTCCCTGTAATTGTGTGAAGTACTGTTACATTGACCTCAAAGGTTGAAAATGCTTTTTTGTAAAATCACAGTTGCAATCCACACTACACTTTCGGTAGTCGTACGTCACTTTATTTTGCGAGAGAAGGATACAAAAGCGATGCACATTCAGGCCAAATCTTTGTCTTGTATAAATATGCTCTGTTGTGCTATACTATGTCTACTATACGGTGTGTTATTTCACCACGCAAACGAAATGGCGGCCCAAGAGTGGAAGAACGGCACTTTTACGTAGGTGAACGCTGGTATTTTTTTAGTGAATTCTACTGTCAGTGGTGCGTATGTCTTTGCTGGATCGAATCAGTCTTGGTGATTCTATCTGGTGGTGGTAAATTGCCATAATAAACAAGCTTTATACAAATATATATAAGGCGTATTTGGTTATTATTATTGCACTTTTAAAATGCAGTGGATTTGTGTTGCTGAGATTGGAAGAATGGCTGATTTCTTTATATTGTATGCATTGGCTTAAAAGCATGGTAAACAACTTGAAATTTGTATTGATTGACTTAGAAGCCTGGTAAACCAAATAAAATGATGTATTAATGAACTCAGAACTTTCAAACTAGCAATGAAGCTGTGTTAATGTTTTTGTTTAATGAATAATACATGTTGTTTGTCCCAACAGAAATAGCCTTGAGCAAATCAGACCACGACGTGCTGGCTTAGTTAGAAAGCATGTGATCTTTTGCATACTCTGAAAAGATGTGCCCTAACACTATATGTCAAAACTGGTGATAAAACCAAGCTGCTTTGAGAGCGAGGAACAATTTTTGTAGTTTATAGTTGGGTATCCCAGATTTAATATCCATGCAACATTGGACAAACCTGAAAAAATTAGGTCAGTACAAATGTCTGTGTAGTGTATGAACCAAATAGTAGATTAAATAGGTAATTTCTCTCAAACAATATTTCACATATGCACTAAATTAGGCAACTATTACATTTGGTATACCTAACTTCCAATACACCAATAATAACACATTCATTCATTAATTTTCATCCTCTTTGTTAGTCCATTTCAGGGTTTGGGGGTGGCAATCAGAGCTGCCACCCGGTCGTCATAGCACCAGCTCCTCACTGATCCGTCCTTGGCCTTAGAGGGCTTCAGGCAAAGTGGGGATGAGTGCTTGTCCAGGGACACAACGGCAGCATGACATCAGTGGGAGTAGATGGAGTAGGTATCGTGAGGGGATCAAACCCACAACCAAAGATGTAATGTAATCAAATCAAAAACCCATGTATGCATGTAAAGTGTTTCTCGTTTTGTTCTAGCACTAGTTTTCACATGTATGTACTTTTGGACTCTGGCATGTCTTGACAGCTTTTTCAGACATAAAAGTTAAAGGGCAAGGACCACCTTCACCCAGCCTAAAGAGTCTATGTTTTTACGCAACAAATCACATGTTTTCTTGAGGACAGCCTGTTGTGGTCTCATTTGTTGGGAGAAACATGGATTATTTATGAAGCAAAAAAGTGAGGTACCCCAGCTTTAAGGTAACGCTACAGCACAATAAAGTAGGTTAAAAGGCTGCCATAACACACATCAACAACAGATTATGGATTATTCTTGGCATGCAATTGCAACATATTGTCTTTATTAGTGTGACAAATTGCTCTAACGGGCCTGAACAATACCGTTATGGCACAAGTCGCTTTGACAATGACATGTTTTCCGTCCATCGCTCCCAGGGGCCAAAACATAACAATAAACACTGGTGTTACGTAATGCTGCAGTTCCCTCTATCAGCAGCAGATGGCGACACGCACTCAGTCATCGTGCGTTCCTTTGTTAACGTCTGACAAAGAAATACCATACGTAGTTTTTTTGCACACTTATCAATGAATTTCTTTTACTAAGCAACAACGCATTTTTGAGAATGACAGATGCATTCCAATACAAGTGGTTACATGCATTGTTTCTTAAAGTACAGTGCAGATGGATGTTTTACCATGTTCGATTATGCGATTATCAAATGATTAATCCATGTTTATGTTGTTTGTTTGTACTTAATGCATGGGCAAATATGCAAAACACAGACAACACGGAGCTCATTAGATTAGTGCTCTGGTGAGACATCGCCCCGTCGCCTCCTTTACCCAGGACGCCGCTGCGTAACTTGTTGCCAGGGTAACAAGCCATTAGCGAAGCTCTGTTTGGAGATGATGTCAATACAATATTATTCAGTGGTGTTATCTTATATGAAAAAAACAAGGTATACAAAACGTAAGGCCTTTATGCAAATTTTAACCCATTTGTTTAAAAAAGAGTATTGGTCTTTTTGTCTTAACACTAGAACTCCCAAAATTGAAAAATGTTGAAGTTAGTAGAACTCCCAGGGCCGTCATTTTGACTTCTCTCACTCAAATAACTGGATTTCTTTGAAAATAAATATAAAAGTTAGTAAACTTTTGTTTTTCACCATTTTTATTACAAAGTCCCAATTTGCAATAGAATTCCTAGTTTGTGATTTCCTGTTACTTACAATGGCAATACAAATAATTCTGATTCTAATTCTGATTAAAGGTAAGTAGTTCATAAGGTTTTGTTTTTTCCTCTGGTCACTTTAGAGTGCTCGAACTTGTGAATAAAACTGAAATACAGCCAAATCAGCTCCTGTGGACTCACCCCCTGCAGGAGGATCAGTGAGGGGCTGGTGCTCTGTGTACTGGGTGCAGCTCTGACTGCCACCCCCCCCGACCCAGAAATGGATTAAGGGGAAGAAAATGAATGGATGGACAGTTGTGAAAGAGCAATAAACATCTCTTGAGAGTATAGGGAGAGCATGCTGTAAACAGTGACGTTTTACACTATGAAAATATGCAAATATTTGTT